GGCCGATCTCAACCGTAAAGATATGAAAATTAAGGAAGAAATTGATTTTGTAACGTAGACCACCCTAAGGTGCTTATTCAGTATGTGGGAACTATAATACGTAGTCAAACGTGATTCGCTAGTTGAGACGGTACGATGACGACACAAGAAGATTGACGGCTTCGAAATGTCATCCGCAGTGTCATCTTTATAAGCGGAGACTCTAGTTTTCCCTGTTTTATCGAAGCTAGTCCTTATTGTAACAACTTGAGAAGAAAAGTAAATAAAGAAGGATCAACCAAACCACAAACGAGTGTTAGAGAAATTAATTCTAACAATATGTATATAGTATAAATAAGCTATAAAATATTTCAAGATTAAAGAAAGTATATTTCTAAAATTTTATTACTTCAAACTAGGAGAATATAAACTGAGGATAGTCTCTTTTTCATATATACTGTGAATTAATGTGCAATCCTGTTGTTGCAAGAATTTTAAAGTCAAACACGCATAGTTAGATAAACCCACGGGTCTGGTGAGAAAGGGTAAATTACGTCCCCTCCCCCCCCCCCCCTTCCAAAGTTAATCAAAGTTAAATAACTTTCAAAGAGAGTTTAATGAGTTATTTACAATAAAGCCTCTCTCTCCAGTTTCGACGACAAAATCAAACAAACAAAAAAAAGGAAAAAAATGGTATTCCTTATAGAGAACCGGTAAGGGTACGACTTTGATCTTTTATGGTCTGCTTCTTACCGTCCGAACTTACGGTCATGATCTAGTGACCTTTTATGAAACGTGGCTGAAGGATGACGTTTATATCCCTGGATATGTTAATGAATTTAAAAAGTGGAGATGAGATCAGAGGCGGAGGAGTAGGCGCGTGCATTAAGGAGTCGATTAAAAAGAAACAGCGCAAATACATCTAGATGTCCTGACATAGGACATCTCTGACTAGAAGAACAAGGCCGGAACAAGCACATCAACTAACTTATTTGGAAAATTTACAAATCTTGAATCGAGAGTAAAATGCTCAAGACTGGCTTGCACAAATTGAAATTCTGTTTTCAGAACTTACCGACTCTTACAAGTACACCAGTGCTTGGATTTGCTAGGTACGCTTTATCCGACCCAGAATTTACAAAAAACCGGCGAGAGTAACGCCGACCAGACATTCACAAACTCTCACTGATAAAATAGTCTCAAATAATCCGAAACGCGTTACCCACATTTATGTACTACCGTGCGCAAACATTGGTGATTACGACGGCCCGTGCGCCTGCTTGAATATTTGCACTGAAAGGTTTGTTCAGCAGGGTAAGTTCATTCGCTCGTTGGGAACGCAACCTTTAACAACAGGAATGTATGCGAGACATCGGTCACATCATCTATGCAGTAGAAAATCCAGACAAAACATTGAAACTGCTCAAGAAACTTGTACCTGAATGTATGGAGGGCTTCGCATCCTTGAAACGTAGAGAGTGACTCGTCCTCCCTCACACAGGTTTAACACAGATGATATGTGCGATCTCCTGATCAAGAAAAACACGTCCAGGTAATATATAAATCCGGCCAAGCTTAAAAGTGGAGCTCTTGTTAGTTTATTTTCCAGCCCTTCGTTATACTGAATAAAAACTGTAATGAAACACTGGCTGTAGAAGATTTTCTTCAAGGGCATTTCGGGTCCAGGGGGGTTGGGAGGGAGGGGGGACAGGGGAATTGAAGAGGTCTGGAACCAGGACACGACGTTCTCACAACTTGTAAAGCGATCAACACGCATGCTAGTCAACGGTATCTTCTATCTTTTCGAAGATAGGGAATGTTTTCTTCGTCAGATGAAGTGTATGATGTCAGCATCAATTGAAATCATATTCTATTGAGCGTGACTTATAATTTCTGTTTGGGAAAATGACACAGGTTGAACACAGATGGTATATGCGATCTCCAGATCAAGAAAAACACGCTCATAGGAACAATCATATAAAACTACTTAGATCAAGGCCATTCAAGAACATAAAATTATTTTCAAATAAACAGATAAAGTGAAAGTCAGGACGCAATGAAAATGGTCAGATTTTCCTAGCTTTTGCAGTTAGAAACAGAAGCTTAGACCCATGACTTAAGTGAAACGAAGTGCAATGTTTACACTCAATGCCATGATCAGAGCAGTGACGCAGTTTCATGTGCAACAAAAACAATGATGGAAATGATGACCTAAATATGTAGAAGGAGTAAACAGTGACTGAACATTAACTCCATGGTCATAATCTTCCGCAAAAAAAGTCTCCTGCTCAGTGTCCATATCCTTTTTTAATTAATCACACACGACGAAAGTGAAAACCGTACAGGCTTGAATAAATTAAAACGGTAAATAGTTAATTAAATCCCCTTAACAGGAATGACCAAAAAAAAAATGCACAGCGTGTTCATAAATACTGGGTTTATAGTGCTAAGCTTAAAATAAGAGCCGGGGCGAGGGACAGCGAAACACAAGAACTGCTAGTGAGTTAAGAAAGAAACTAAATTCTGAGCGACTTACGCAGCAATATCATTACTCGAACACCTCGAATCTCCAAGGTAAGTTGATATTTTTTTCATCATTTCACTTTTCGGTTCATTACTTCGAAGAAGTAGATTCTTTTTTGCCGTGATTAGGCGAAGAACTCGCCGTTGACTGAAAGCCGAAAGAGCAGATTTTATCATTCTTACCAAATCTGTCATGTAGCGTATGTGATTTATAATTAAACACATTGGAACCACATGGTAAGCCATGATTGAATATAGATAAGTTATTGAAAGGTCTCACATATTGACATCAAACGAGGTATTTCTACTCAGCAAATTATATCGCAGTTCAATGCACATGTTGGCCTTGTTAATTTTTTTCATATCCCTCATTTTCTCCCCGTATTTAATTTTCGTGACCGTCTTGATCTTCTCAAAAACTTGGCGTGATAAATCATTGCGTGACTAGAATGTCTACATTACAATTGACAAGAGGCGATCACGATGGAGATAATTACAGTCCTGTTGTAAAGGGATTTTCTTCCTTATCAATATGTATACGATACCCGTTTCATTCTGGCTGCAAAATCTCTGTAATGGAATCAATTTAATCATTTTAGCAAGATCCGTTTCTGATCGATTTATTAAAAATAAAACAAATATTTCGTGACATACTGTCAAACGCTTATTCCTAGTTGATGACGTCGTCAAAAAGCACTCATCAAAACATCGTCTGCGTATCAAAATGGCGGACCAAACGGCGAAGGTTGCTGTTATGGGAAGGTATCTCGCCATCACCCACATTATTGTCGGCGTTCTACTCTTCTGCTTTGGCATCGCAGATTACGTAACTCAGCATTTTTGGACAGGTTACGTGTGTTTTGGGATTTGGATCGGTATTTGGGTAAGTTTCTTCGCGACGCTTCAGTCGTCTCGTTTTTACATCACAGGATTTATTTATTACATATAGCCGGTATTATATTCGTACAGGATGGTATTATATTCGTGCAGAATGATAAAAGATGCTGCCACCTTATTTTTATGTGATACTGAAATATCGTTTCAACCGCTTCGAAAAAAAGATTTGAGCGACCGACGTTTATTATTGAGTTTAAAACTCACTTGTACGGGCTGTCAATATTTTGAAGTATTTGTCATCTGGAACAAGAAACTAAAATCTGCAGCTGCGAAACTCTTCACCTTGGAAGAAAGTAAATATCGCATTATTAATTCATTAATTCGTATGACTCTATCGTGAAGTTTGTCAGAAATACAAGCCTGGTCGAATTACAATTTCGTTACGAATGAGTGGAGCTACTATATGCAAATTTGCCACATTTATATGCAAATTTCCAAAATTTGTCCGCTCTTCTCTGAGGTATTCGTGATTTTCCTTCTAATTTTTTTTCCGCTTTTTTTTTTCCATAGCCATGGCAGTTTGTGCTTTTATTGAATATCAAATTATTGTTGATTCCTTCCGTGCATAAAAAAAAATCTCGATTATGATGATAATAATGTTATTTTGTTATTCAAAATATTTCCATAATTTCCATCAAGACAGGTTAAGACAGTGCTTGGGCATCTGTTCAAAGCTCATTATTGAGTCGATGGTTTCTTCATTTAAGTAAAGTTTGGGTTGCCTGACAACAGTGGAAATTTGCTTTAATTTTGTAATTGCCTCAAAATGAGATAGGGTGCAACAATTTTACCACTACTCGGATATTTTAGTGGTACGTTTTCTTTAGCGGCAAGCTGTAATAGTCGGCGACATCTGCTTTCTTGAAGCATTAAATGAATGACTTTTTTGCGAGACTGCGTGATGAGTGGCATTTGGACAGGAAAATGACTACAGTCGAAACCTTGATTTTCTGGACCTTGATTATCCAGACTTTTTCTCTTGTCCCAATTTTTTCATGAATATCAATTAGTTATGATCACGATCTATAGCCATATTTTTTTAAAAAACTACAGCGTTGAAAAGAGAAGAAAAGTCGAGTTTGTTTTGCTTTCAAAAAGCAAAAGCAGCACTCGTATGCGTTGTAACTAATGCAGAACATTAGAATGAGGTCTGATTGGCTTAGATTTTCTTTGTTTCTAAGTGAGATTTCACACTCTATTCCGGCTCGTTCAGCATCAATCTTGAGCTCAGGGTTATTTTGGCTCCTTGTCAGCAGTATGG